ACACTGCTCAGGACAGTAGCTTCTTAACTATGGAAATGCTGTATATGTGCACAAGAAATTCAAAACCACCCATGCATTTTAAAACTGATTACTGTAGGTAAATGCATTTAATGGATGTTCTTGCAGAAAAACTTTTTTAGGAGCAAAAAAAGGTGTTTTTCACTGAGTAACTTTGTTCCGTACACTTTTTAAACCATTGAATAAAAGTTTGCTATAAATGCTGTCGCCTTCCAAAATATATTTAAGCATAAATCAAGAATCTCTTATCCACAGCACAAAGTGTTGTTCCTTTTTCTTGCAGTGTCTTTAAAGATCGTTAACTTCTGCACTGCCAGTGGAATCCTGCTACATACATTTTTATCTCCCCCCACTGACAGAGCCATTAGAGTGAGCCATTAAGATTTTGTCTAGAGGTGGAAGTGTTGCTGCTAGAAGGGAGATAAAGGTATGGATTTTTTTTCCAATCTGTGTCCCTGAGAGGATATTCTGGTTTCTGAAAGTAGAAGCAAGTTCAACTTGGAGTTTAAAGAGGTGTTTTAAAATACACTTGGGAACGTAATCCAAAAAAGCATTCCTAGATCTAGGTATTTGAGATTTCAGAAATTAGGGAAGAATGCAGTGCCCCGTTATGACGGTACCTATTAAAGCTGCTGCAGTGAGACCATGAAGATACAGCGGTACTAGATGACAAATACAGAAGTAATTCTTTGTGGGTTTACCAAAATTGCATCTTAAGGGAGAATGAGGCATCTAAAATTGTCTTTCCCTTGAGAGCTGCAGAGACGAGAGGCTTGTACTGTGAAATATAAGCTATTTCATCAGTATTTTTTGCCCTAGTGAGGTTAAACATAGGGCCAGTAAAGTGAACATGCAAGCATAGAGCTACTGTTTTGTTTTCCATAGCTGACCTGATCTTCCTGTATGCTATATTAAATTTCAGAATTGGCTGATACAACTGACAAGTTTCTTGGCAGTTTTGTATGAAGCAAAAGTAAACTGTTGTTACAAAGGAAGCTTGGGGTTCAGTAGGCTTTGTATTGTCCCAGGATTACCTTGTCACGTCTGGGAGAAATTAAGTTACAGGCATGGATTTTCAGGAGGATTTTTTGGGTCTGCCTTGCTAGCAGCACCGTTTCAGGAACAGAGGTGCAGAAAACGGGGAGCCATCCCACAGTGGTACACAGTTACTGGTACCTTGCAGCTCCCTGCCCTGGTGTGTGTCAATAGTTGGCCTTACCTGGTGTTGGTTGAAAGATGGATGCTGTTGTATCTGAGCAGAACTGCATTCAGACAGCTAATGTAGTTGAGTTTCTCATTAGTGCATCGAAGAGCAGACACAGATTAGGAGGCTGGACGTAATTTCTAGGTGGTTTTGTTCACGGCTTAGTATACTTCATTATAATCTTGGGTGAGATCGAGTCATTCAGAGCAGGGAAGCTAATTTTAGGGTTAGCTGGGCTGAAAAGCAAATGGTATGAGTAGGAGGCATGTGCAAGAATTTATGCTTTTAATAGAGTAATGGGAGCCAAACAGGACTGAGGCAAAGAGCTTTCGAGTTAAAAAGAAGGGTTGCAGCTGGTTTGGCTGGGGACTGGTCTCCTGGCCCAGCCCCTTCGCCCCGTTTCAGACAAACCTCCCTCTGCAAGGCAGGTGCTGCAAGCAGCGACCACGGGGACATGCCAGGTGGGGTGTGCTGGCAGGGATAGCTGGGACAGACCCTGCTTTAGCCTCCTCGCCTTGGACCCAGCCTGGGCAAGGGGAGGAAGGTGCTTGTGGGTCCCCCGGTCTGATGGCTGCAAGACAAGCCCCCATGCTGGCCTCTTGCGGACAGCAGTGCTGTCCCTGCCTCCTCTTGGTGCCAGTGTTCTGGGCAGCAGCCTTTCCTCTTCCCCAGCGCAGGAGGGAGGCAAAAGCACAACTTCCTGCACTGCTGTTTGTTAGAACCACAAAAAAACACATAACACCATAGTGCTGCTACTTCCGTTCACATGAACATTCCTCCACCAGCCATTTGTTTGTCAAAAACAATGCAAGAACTACAGATACAACGTAGAGTTTAAAATAGCAAACTTCATTATTAATTTCTGCCAAAATAGGTTGCATTTATATACAAACAGAGCAGAAGATATTAATAATCTGAAGCACTTTAGTACCTGGTTTCATCGACTTGCACTGTGCTAGGCACTTAAAAAACCCCAGTTCGTATCATTCATGAGTTCTGACCAAAACTTCCAGCCAGCTCTAAATGCTGTGCCTACCAGAAATCCTTTGCACAGGGGAAGTACTTTGCACAGCAAAATCAAACCATAACAAAGCTATTCCTGAAGTGCGCGTGCAGGTTCTCCTTTGGGCTAACAGAACGCCACTGCGGAGCTGGCTTGCTTTGCTGCTACCTGCTGACTGCCAGCAGAGGTGTGAAGTGAAGGCATACTCCCCTCCTTCATCTGCTTTACTTTTCCCTGGCAGTTTAGTGTGAAATAGTTAATTTCAGAAAGCCTTACATAACTGCATAATAAAGAGGCAAGGAAGACAATGTGATCTTTGTGCTAAAACCCTTTACATCAGTGTGTTCTTAATCTCTCTACAAGCACTTACTGTGTTTTGGGCCCACTGATTACTGTAAAACTTTGTTTGCTTCTCCAACTAGTTGGCAGCAACTTGGGTACCTCAAGGGAGGAGAGTTAAGTGGTTTTATTTACTGACTAGTGCCTAAACTAGCTAGGAAAAGCTAATGATTTTTAATTGCTAACATCAGCCTTGGTAGTTCAGGACAGAGGTGTAAGAGCTGGCTACTGTTACTAGTTGTGTAAATATCCATTCCTCCCTGGACACACATCACTGTTTTCACCAGCGATAGGTAGGCAGTGGTTTCCTAGATAGCGTAAACTCTCCTTTACTTTATTTGTACCCTCTTCCAAACTTCTTTGTGATCACGATACGTAGCTTGGATGCAGTGCTGTCAGGCAGTCAAAAAGGATCTACAACGGTATCATCACAATGTGGCACTAATATTTTTTGTTGGAGTACCACTGAGAAGTTCTGCACAAGTACTCTGCTTGTACGATGGGTGTTAAGGGTTGTGAGGTCATCGATTACGCAGTGTATGCTATGTCCATCTTCATTTCGGTGCTGTGCCGTGTGCATGTGCAGTCAGTTCCCACATCATAGTGGCTTTCCCCGAGTTTTACTTCTCTGAATGTCAACCACTTAACGTTATTTTGATTTCTCTGCCTAATCTGTTCTATAGAACCATAGAGTGGTTTGGGTTAGAAGGGACCTTAAAGATCATCTAGTTCCAACCCCCCTGCCATGGGCAGGGACACCTTCCACTAGACCAGGTTGCTCAAAGCCTCATCCAGCCTGGCCTTGAACACTTCCAGGGATGGGGCATCCACAGCTTCTCTGGGCAACCTGTGCCAGTGCCTCACCACCCTCTGTGTGAAGAACTTCTTCCTGATACCCAATCTAATCCTCCCCACTTTCAATTTAAACCCATTACCCCTTGTCCTGTCACTACAGGTCCTTGTAAAAAGCCCCCCCCAGCTTCCTTGTAGCCCCTTCAGGTACTGGAAGGGGCTAAAAGGTCTCCCTGGAGCCTTTTCTTCTCCAGGCTGAACAAGCCCAACTCTCTCAGCCTGTTCCTATAGGAAAGGTTTTGGGGGAAGTGAGTCATACACAACCTACCTGTACTTTCAGCGATCAGAGCAATATTGGCTGTCACGCTCTCTGAAAAGAACAAGTGGGAGTGGTCCTTAACATGGTATAACATTTACACTTCTGCTGTATGGTGCGTTCCAGAAGCTAATACTCTGGGTAATTTCTACTTAGAGATTTCACACCAAAAGGGGAAGAGTCAATGCAGAAACCGATTCCTAGGTTTGCCAGTCTCACCACTTTGCACTGCGGCCCTGAGCACGTCACTCATCCTCCCTGTTGCAGAGAGGGAGAAATCAACAGAGCGGACAAGATCTGTGATGGAAGGAGGTTCTTAATAGCATTTGTAAAGTGTTTTGAAGATGAGATGTGCGGTTCAAGCGCTCATAAATTATGCTGCACTCATGGCAAGATGATTAGATGCATTATTCAGATTTGGTCAGCTCATTTCAGGGTTGTTAAAAAAATGCTCAAAGATCCACTGAAAAGAAATGCTGTCACAGCCTTTCACTATAAGAAATGTTTAAGCTAAGTACAGAAACTAGAAAACAACTATCTGTGGGACAAAAAAATAGAGGTGTCTGTGCAGTCCCTAATATATGGAAAACGATAAAAATAAATGTGCAATATGGCCTCTGCTAAAATGTAGGCATAGGCCTAACTTCACACTCTGCAAGTTGGAAATTTTCTGTGTATGACAGTTGTCTGTGAAAATCCGTTTTAGGAAGCAAATCAGAGGTCCACACATCGTATGTTAAACTCGCACGACGAGACTCTGCTCATGGCAGAGCTGTAAGTGTCCTTGCAGCAGGTGCACTTACTGCCTCCAGTTTGGTTGCTCTCCGAAAAAAGTACCTTTCAGTTTAGTAATTTTAGGCAGGTTTGGGGGCTTTGCTGTTAGGACGGGCCTTTTAGCACTGCATCCTCAGCTGGCATGAGCTCTGCTGGCTTCAGCCGAGTTGCCAGCAGCCTCTGAGTCAATAAGCTTATCTCCGTCACCCCACTTACAACGGTACCGGATGTATCACAATCTACAGCTGACATTCTCAAACTTGAGAAAGGGTAAGGGGAAAGAGAGTAACATCCTACCTTATTTTTTTACTTCATGCTGAAAGCAGCATTAAGATCTCCACTGCCAGCCTATTTGCATAGTTTAGTATAAGAGCCAGCTTTATTCAAGTGCTAAAACGAGACTGGATAAAGTGCTACCAATTTAGTGCATGTTGCTGCAGGGCCACTTTGCGATTGCATCTGCAACTGCCATGTTATCTCTGGGCTCTGTATGACATAATGCTCGCTGCCACTGCATGCCAGATGAGAAAACCCAGGTAGATTAAATCCTTTGTTCAACTGTCAGTGCTCTCTATGCTGGACACTTCTTCAGGTACAAGCAGAGCCAAGTCCTCCCCGTTCCAGCTTGTGCACAGCAGCCAGCTGTAAGACACAGATAAGACGGGTAGCTTTAGCTGAGATAGTTAAGTACAGCGTGCTGATTCAGCACCAACAGACGCGCTCGATAGCTCTGCTACAGCCATCTTCCGTAGCACAATGCTGTTGAGGTACCTGACTCGACATAAGCAGTGACAGTACTTGTCCTTATTACCCAAGTTAGTGTCATTACGGCTGTCTTTGGTAAGTACTAAACTACTACGTCTGATTTAGTCCACAACAGAACAACTATCCGTGCTGCTCTCAAAGAGTAACTTTGCATGGCACCCTCAAAAGAAAGGTTTTTAGAGAAAGGGTATTCAAAGGGTGGGATGTCTGAGACACTAATGACAGAAGGAAAAGAAAAATAACTCAAAAATTTATGGTCATGATAGACTGCAGTCCTGAATGCAGGGTGGACTAGTTGATGGCAAGTATCTGTTGCCTTTTGCACAGAAGTGCTTTCTTAACAGAAACTTTATCTATCATTCAGCACTGAACTAAACTAAACCTAATATTTAATAAAACACAAGTATTTACTGGGCCTTTGTTAACAGAGCTGAATTCCTCGCTTTTTTTTTTACTTTACTGAAAAGTATTCTACACACACACACACACACGAGACCCCTTTGCTTCAATCTCTTCAGGTCTGAGACCCATCACTACCTTAGTCCTCAGTTGCCATCAGTGCTGCTCTCTGAACAGACTGAGTAAAACTCCATAGACAGGCAGGCACGGACTTGAAATTCATGTGAAATGTTCTAAATCTACAGCATTATCACTGCCTATTTAAAACTTAAAATACAGCTGATGTAGGGATAAAAGGTAACTGAGGTAAAGCCTAAGCATTGGGAAGAGAGATACAAGAGTACTCCTCTCCAGCAAGAGTACCACCCTCTTAAGAAAAACAGCTTCCCACTGCTCAGAATATAAATCTAATGAAAAGTGATCCTTCCGTCATGTAGGTCTATGCTCAAACACCCTAAACAGACATAATTTGTTTGGGAAAGAATGTACAGTGAAATCAGCTTTTGTGAAGACCCATGATCCTTCGCTGTCAATATTCCCAGATGTCCACTAGATACAGTTAGATGCAAATACTATAGAGGCATATTTTTTCAACATGCCTAGAGGTTTATTTGTGTGGACCTTAAAGTCAGTGCCGCTCTTTTCCAGGTTTTGATGGCAATGGGTCACAAGGTACCCACGACCAAAGACGGGACAGATAACTTGCCTTTAAATTCACTGGGTGATCGGATCGTGTTTACAACCCTCGTTAGCACCCAGAAGAGCTCAGACTGTAAGTGCCTTTCAGGTGATGGGTTACTTTTGCTGTGTGTGAAAGGCTTTCCTCAGGGGCACCTGTGAAGTACTCACACCAAGGGAAGGCGCACACACGTGGTCCAGGGTACGGTGTACCCCGCCAGTAGTACATTTAGGGTAGATTGCAGCCTGAGGGGAATTTGGGTAACGTTCACAGCATGGAGCTGAGGGGAGATAGCTGGATCAGCCCTGAAACAGGACTGCTGATGGGAAATCTCCAGCAGAGGTGTAGGGGGAGAGGTGTTGAAGAGAGAAGAAATGTGAAATGAGAGCTACTAGGGCACACTAGAAAGATTGAGAACTACTGCACTAAGCCATTCAGCTTCAACTCGTGTCAAAACCAGGAATTACTGGCAAAAGCAGTCGGAAGCAGCCTCCTGATCTGTACTTACCACAGGACAGCCAGTGGAATTAGACAAAAGCTTGCTGATATGAGGAAGCTAAAGCCTGAAAACCATGCAACAGTAGCTGCGTAGAGGATGTTAAAAACTGAAAGTGAAATAGTGCCGGTCACAACTTCTAAACAGGCAATACAAGCAAACACAGCACCTGCCAAAAACAAATGGATGGATTACAAACAAATCAAAATAAACCCAAACCCCCTTCCAAGTGCTAAAGTTTTTTTAAACTTTTGAAAGACGTATCTACAATATTTTATCAAGTTTGCAAGTAACAAGCGCCCAAGTGTGATATGTCTTTGCCATGAAAATGTCTTATCCCTGTGGGGACTCCTACAAAAGACTTGTTTTTTAAATGAAAAAAGCCCACCAAAACCCAAAAACCATTTTGCTGATGGAAGCTATTGTCTTTGCTACTACTCTGTCCCCATACCTACTTTCTTGAATCTGCGTATCACATGAAGTTCAAACTGTTCCTCCTCACTAACCATCCTTTGCCCCTTCCAATTCTCCTTTTGGTTCTCACTGGTCCCTTTCTTGTTTCTTCCTTCTCTAATCTTCACCCTTACATACAGGAAAGGCTCCAATCCAACAGACCGCCTGTTCAGCACATAACCATGTCCTTCTCATTTTTGGAAGGAAAGAAGCAACCTTTTCTGCACTGAGCTACCCATTGGGGTGGCAGTCTATCCCATCAGTGGCTTGTTGAGCACATTTTCCCAAGCTGCATTTGTATTCATGGGACCATAAACAAAATCACAATAGGTAAGCAGAAAAGGCTGACAAGAAGCAATCTGATTCCCGCAGCAAACTACTCAAGTAGCCAAAGCCCTGAGGAATGCCAAGAAACTGCAAAACCAGTGGTGTACGTTCGCGTAGTTCAGTACAAGGATATCTTTGTTTTAGTGTACAAACATACACCTTTTAAAAAAATCAAACAATGAGGCAAATGCCTCTAGAAAGTACATGCTCCCCAAAATCTGGTTACAGCAAAATGTGGATTACTAGAGCCACATTTTGTGGCCTGACATGTTTTTTTCTGTGTTGCATATGGAAAGCACTTTGGGGAGTAGTATGTTGCGTCTTTTGGGACATGTTTAAGTAGCCACACGTAGTCATGAAGCCAGGCACATAGTTCAGGATCCAACTCTGTTTTCAAGTGCTTTGAAGGTTGATCACCTACTGCTTACCTTTCTGAATTATTGTGTTGCTGACTAAATAACAAGTGTATCTTTCTCTGCATGTCAAAATCTTTTGTGAATGTAGAAGCACTTGTGAAATCACACCTGCATAACCTTCAGCATTCCTCTGCTTCAACTTCCCCAAGGTCTTTATTTCTAGAGCAGCATCTCCTATGAAGGTTGAAGCTGGCAGTGTTTTTTAAACACAGTGTTGTTTATATTAAATTCAGAATCAAAAGCCATTAATATCATGACATAGGGTCATATTATCTGGAACTTTAAAGAAATGCAGTCTTAAAATACCAATATGTATCTGTGTGTTTAAAGGTAATCTTGGTGCATCTGTTCTGAAATACCATATTGTTGTATTGGTTAAGGACAAATTCAACTCACCCTGTTCACTGGTGAGAACCACTTTCGAAAGCATAGATCGGAGAACAGGAATGGGCATAAAGCAGAGCAAAGATGGCACTCTTACTGTAAAGCAATAAATCAGTCATGAGACACTGAAATAATAAAACCCCAGGATTTTACAGATAACATTGCAAATAAATGAGTCACATGCTTCTGTATGCTCAGTTCCCCAGGTAGTACAAGGCAATAGAAAAATCAAACTGGAATGCACTGAGATGCAATTATTCAAGCACAGAGAAATTAATAAATCCAATATATCCGTACTGCAGTAAAACCAAATCATAAGCAAATAATTCCATTCTCTCTCCACACACTTCATCTTTTAATTAAATCCTAAATCAATCTGACCCAACCTTGTACATTTTCCCTCTCGATGACCCTTTCAAGATGGTACAGCCAATATCTACCAACTGCACTCACGACACATAACACAGCATTATTTTCATATATATTGTTGACCATTATATATTGTTGAACGACTGATTGTGAACTCACCTAAAAACATGAGCAGGGTAGTTTTGGCAAAGGCAGCCATGACCATTCCTCCAATGTAAGAAAATATCCCAATAAAGACGATATAAATGTCTTTGAGACATTTAGAAAATAAGTAAACTCCTAAAAAACTGGTGAGAGAGACAGACGTGAACGCAGCTGCTCCATATCCAATGTAGACTTCATTCCAGCAGAGTGGCTCATCCAGTTCATACAGTGTGAAAAGCGAACTCCCACCAACCACAGTAAACAAGTAAGTCATGAATGTAAAAAGTAACACGATTATTAAAATTCTTTTTTTGTAAGGGGCAGTTTTAAAAAGCATGTACACTCCAGAAAATGTCTCTCTAAGAAGTTCCGTACAAGATACCGGAGCCTGGTGCTGGAATTCAGATACACCTATTGTATCTTCCAGAAAAAAGAAAATGTAGATAATATTAACGACGTGAAGGAGACATGCTGTCACAAATGTCCACGTAAAGCCTATCCCTCTTAGGAAGTAGCCAGATGACAGTCCTGCCAATCCAGACACGACCCCAAAAATCAAATCCACCACAGCTATTCGCGTCGTCTTCTGCTTCTCATCGTGACACACATCTGCTATAAAGGCAAAGCCTCCTCCAAGGAAAGTTGCCATACTCCCAAACAGCCCAGTAATAAATGCAACCGCAAACAGGATAGAGAGTGGCAAGGAGAAATACGATATGACGGTGAGGCAAATATCGGCAATCAGAGCTCCCATCGATGGTAGAAATAAAGACCTTTTGCGTCCCTGGCGATCCCCATTAGCTACAATGACAAAGGCAACTATAAGGCTGGGAACTGCCCCAGTTAAGTCCAACTGCATATTAAAAACAGAGGCTTTTTCTTGAACTTCCTGCGAAGAGAAAACAAAAATAATTGTAAATAACATATTATATAAAAAAAACCACAACACAACCTGTAATAATATTAAACATACAGAATGACTAGTATGCGATAGAATGAATGGTACAGCACATGTTTATACATTATATTATTATAAAACATAATACATACAGTATAATTTTATGAGATTGTGTGACTTTATGTTATGCTAAAATACAGTGCATTACTGTATGCTTACAGGAATGCATTATATTACAGTAATTGCTAATACAAAGGAATTGCATAGTCAAAGACTCCCGCTTTGGTAATTTCACCTTCAATATTCCTCAAACATCCCTTGTTACATATTAAGCCACATCTTATTCTTAAGATATAGCCTCAGTAGTGCCCTTGACGCAGAAGTTTCAACAGAGACAAGAGAACGATGCTTTTGACCCCGCATTTACAAGAGCTGGTGCTTATACTGCAAGGATCAGCTTCGGCACAGGGTATGGCAAAGGGACGCCAGGCCTATTTCTGTCTCCCAGAAATCAGCAGTAAAACAGTCTTTGATTGAGGAACACATCCCATGCTCCCCACTCAAGGGAGATCATTTTTTCTCCCAGATAATCCTACTGAGAGGGTTACAGAGAAACAATTCACTGACTAGCACGTCGTGCAAGTAAACAGATCAGGATTTGCTCTGACATCCCAGCGTACGGTGTTAGTAACCACAAATGTGAAACGCAGCACATACCGACTCACAGATGCGTGAATTAACTGTTGTGTGTTGACGTGAATTAACTATCAAATGTAGCTGAAAAACAACCAGTTAACAGAACATGAATGGCTGTAGAAAAGAAGAACTAAAGAAAAGGCAGTTAAAAACCCCAATCTTGTTACGAAGCCAGCTGCTGAATGACGCTCAGTAACTTAATTCAGATCTTGCTTTTAATGCATTGATGCAGGCTAGAGAGGGAGCAGCCACAACAGCCCTTTCAAACACAACCAGAAGAGCAGCAAAAGGGGACAACATTCCCACAAACCCTTTATACTCTGTACGATAAACTTTCCGATGCAGTCAGTAAAGTCACTGCAAGTTTTCTTGAAGCCTGCTGGGGTATCACGCAGGCCTGGGCAGGGGTTGCACGCCAGTCAGTAGCTGGTACAGATGTGTCAGTCTTTCCTAAGCCCGTATTCAAGCCATCTACGTTCCATGTTTCAGGAATTTCCTCTGTAGTTAACATAATCCCCACTGTAGCACCCGAACGACAACAATAACCCGGTGCTTTCATAAATGTACTTCAGGCAATTATTAAAGGCTGCTGAATACTTTATATATTCACATTTATATTTACAGGCAGAGACCACGAGTTTCTACTTCAATCTCTTCCTTTGTTTACAAGATGTCAGGTTCTATTGCAAGAAGAAGATTCAACTGATGGTGAGGCCCTCAAGAAAAGTCTTCAAGAGCCCCAGCACTCTTCCCGTAGCATGTCTGACTATTTTAGGATTCATAATGTCCTGTCCACTGGCCACACTGCTGTCACCCTGGAAGGGTCAGATCCGTGATGACTGAGCAAACCGAGATAGAAAATGATATTCTGATCTTTAACTCTATGCAACTGCAGGCATTGCTTCTTTTCTAGGATCATCTTGTTCAACAACATGAGTGTCAAAGAAATGCTAATACATTAGAAATAAAACTAAATGTTATTATATATCACCCCAACCTACATACAACGCAAATATTATTGACAAAACATAACGAAGGAATAAAACTGCAAAGACTTGGGTTTCATTGTGTTGGAAGCAGTTGTGCAACATAAAGAACATGGCTACATATCCAGATGCTGCAAATGAGCATAACCTTGTTGACATAAATGACTTGCTGTCTACTGACAAGAAGACTAAAAGAGAGAAGTACAGGAAAACTCCATTTAGAGTGTAAGGCACTCAACTCCCTGCTTTATGTTTTTATAAAGTCAATGGAAAGGAATATGGAAAATCACAGGTCAAACCCTCTGCTGCTTTAAAATCATGTAACTCAAATAATGAAGGGGACTACACAAATCTGAAGGTCTACCTTTTTAATCTGGAAATTCTCTCTAATCTGAAAAAAAAATACTCATGCAGGACAGAAATAGTTCTTAAAATCACAGATTTCAAAATTAAAAGAATGAAAATTAAGAAGCAATTCACGTATGTAAGGATTAAATTAAGAGAGAAGTGTAGTGCCTGAGGCTGAACAACGTACAGGACATGATAAAACTGACAGGTTCATAAATTTTAAAAATATTAGTGAGTAGCAAAGGAAAATGCATGGATTGGATAATAAATAAACTGGATGACAAATAATGTTTAATGATTAATAATATAGCTCTTTTAGAGCTAAAAAAAAGTATTCGCCAAGCCAGTGTTTAGAATGCTTCAGCTTGTATTCAAATTATCCTTGACTCATTTTATTATAAAACTGATTTCCTTCAAATTTTAAGAAATAATTAATCTAAATGTTGCAAAGACTATTCATGAACTATATTCTACTTTTTTTGCAGGCTCAAAGTGATTTTTGTCTCCAATCTCTTTTTACATTTTGCTTTGAGACAGGTAAGATTAGTATAAGGCTGCTTCATTGTCAGAAAGGATTTATACTAAATTAACTATTAAGGGAAGTGCTCTTCTAAAAGTTAATAGCAAACAGGGCCTGCTGGGAACACTCCTGACAGCAAAATTTACAACATCTCTATGCATAAGTCAGTTAGGATGGTCTTGAAAAATCCAGAACGCTCGCTTCACATATCCTCAGCAAAGGGCTTGGGACTGTGTTGCTGGATCTACCCCCTTCCCCATACACAGCACCATGACTCAACAGAGAGCCTGGACTACACTAAAATAAATGGGTGTTTTAGGCATTTTACATTCTTATACTCTGGTAGCAAATGTGGTATCGAAATGCAGACAAGACATCCAGACAAGAGCATAGCTGTTCAACACAAAGAAGAACCTACTCTACACTAAATTTTCTGAGTTATTTCTTTGAGGACATCCAACAGTTCTTTGATCGCCTTCAACAGAAGCACGTACCATTAACAAGTTTCTTTTCTATCTGACAAATGAGGTAGATAAGCTCAGGTGTTCAGTCTTGTGCATATGCAGCACATCACAGATTCAAATCTGGGATGTGAGCAAAAAATTAGGAAGTGCCACCCTTTCAGCAGCATAGGGGAATGCCAGCGAGTGTTTCCATAATTCCATCTTCGCTGTAATTTACAGTCTGAGTCATCTACTTCTCTGATTCTACAGTGGTTTCATGTTCCACTTAATCCAATCCAACTGCCAGTTGTTGTTGCCAAGGTCAGTTCAGTTGTACCTCTCTTGCAAATGTGTTCCCTCTGCCACCCCCGCGTTAGGTACAGCAGTCGTGTGGTCAGAGTGTGTCTGGGGCGTGCGCTTCTTCGACCAACACAAACTCAAAACGAAGATGAGCTTTTTGTTGAATCAGTGCCCCAAACAAATCCAAACTGTAACCTGTAACTGCACAATGGCAAGACACAACACACTGAGGGGAGAAACGGGGAGAGAGGGGAAAGGAAAATGGAGTGTCATATTCTCTTACACTGGCAGGCCCCAGTTAGCTGTGCTTATGTGTAGAATTAAAGCTGCCCTGGAAGTGCGAAGGAAGAGATTCCAATCAACACCTAGCTATCCAGCATGCTGAACTCTGAAAAAGTGCTAAAAATGGACCATGAGATGCTGTCATCTTGCCAACTTTGTATTTTGACAAGGCAGAGAAGCACGGCTGTGAATGGTAAAGCAATCACCTTCGCTTGTGATCAGTTAAATAATTCTTCACATTATAACATTACAATTTTGTTCTAAACACACCCCCTGTAATTCCCCTGAAATAAATGTATTCTAAACTAGATCTTATTCCTGACAATTACAGGCCATTTGCTGAACTTTTCGTACTCACAAAGAACACCAGAAGTCACAGAGACTACGGATGGCTCACAAACACACGCTCAGTTCTTGCAGGAGGAGGAGCCTCCAGTTGCACCCGTCATCATGTCAGGCCAATGACAGTTTGGGCCCAATCCTCGGAGATGCTTTTTAACTCCCGTCAAAACACGAATTTACCTCAGCATCTTTCTGGAGACAAACCTTTGTCCTTAAAGCACTACAACTCCCTACAGCGCAACACAAACACAATGAGGCTGCAGTAAAGTGACAGCAGCTTACAAAAGTACCACTTCTCTCTATATAAAAGGTTAAGTGAGGTTATATGAAAGGAGATCAGGAAGTTCTTCCCGGAGAGGGTGGTGAGGCACTGGCACAGGTTGCCCAGAGAAGCTGTGGATGCCCCATCCCTGGAAGTGTTCAAGGCCAGGCTGGATGAGGCTTTGAGCAACCTGGTCTAGTGGAAGGTGTCCCTGCCCATGGCAGGGGGTTGGAACTAGATGATCCTTAAGGTCCCTTCCAACCCAAACCGTTCTGTGACTCTATGAGATCATGTTGAGACGGCACCAACGGGCTTCAAGTTTGTTATATCCCTCCCCCTACCCCCGCTTCTTACCTTCTGCTTGATGTAAGTCGGGCTACTTTTGTTCTGCTCACAGTAGCTGGCATTGGTGTCGCCGAGGAAGGAGGAGTTGTACTCCCGCTCCC